AGTAATCATGCACAAGTCCTCATAATGCTTAGGGAGCTTAAGTGCCTTGTACACATTAAAAGTGACCTCCTCATCGTCAACTCTCATTTTTAACTTCCCTGCCCTCACATCAATAATTGCTCCACCAGTAGCCAAGAATGGTCGCCCCAAAATAATGGGCACTTCCTCATCTGCCTCGTAATCAAGAACAATAAAATCAGCAGGAAGAATAAACTTTCCCACTTGAACTAACGCATCCTCAATAATTCCTTTTGGCATGACTAGTGACCTATCTGCTAACTGTAAAGTGATTGTAGTAGGTCTGAGCGCCCCCAATCCAAGTTGCTTGAACAAAGAGTATGGCATCAAATTTATACTAGCCCCTAAATCACACAGGGCTCTACCAACTTCTTGTTTTCCATGAGACAAAGGAATTGTGAAACTCCCAAGATCCTTCAACTTAGGAGGAAGTTTACTCTGAACTCTAGCACTGCACTCTTCAGTAAGTGCAACTGTTTCGAACTCTGTATGTCTTCGTTTGTTTGCCACAATATCTCTGAGATGCCTTGTACACTTAGGCACTTCTTGCAAAATTTCCACCAAAGGCAAATTCACACTCACTTGGCTCAAAATATCTAAGAATTTCTTGTACTTAGAATCATCTTTTTTCTTCTGTAGTCTTTGTGGAAACGGAGGTGGTGGTCTAGTCTCTATTACTGGCTCGGGTCCTTTATCATCTTTCTCATACCCCTCAACTGGCTTGGGAACTAATTCTCCTTCAGGATGAGCTGTATCCTTATTTTTCTTTGGAACTTCTTCTAATGCTCTTCCATTTCTCAAGGTAACCGCATTGACATGAGCTTTAGGATTGGGCTCAGTATCACTAGGAAGAGCCCCTGCTAGTCTGGTATTTTGGGCTCTGGCAAGTTGGCCCACGTGGTGCTCCAAATTTCTCAGTGATGTGGCTTGAGCCTGCTGATCAGCCATTATTTTCTGATTGAAAGTTTGTTGATCTGCTATTAATTTCTGATTGAAGGCTTGCTGATCTGCTATTAATTTCTGATTGAGGGCTTGCTGGTCGGCCATCAATTTCTTCATCATCTCCTCAAGGCTAGCTTGTTGTTCATCCTGAGGTGGTCTGGATTGTTGTTGAGGTGCTTGAGGCTGGTATTGATTCTGATTGCCTTGATTTCCACCCCAGGAGAAGTTTGGGTGATTCCTCCAGTTGGGGTTGTAAGTGTCCCCATACAGATTTGTTTGGCCTCGATTTGCATTACCCACAAAATATACAGACTCTGGATTTGCTGGGCATAGATTGCTCATGTGACCCTCTCCACATACTCCACAAAATATTTGAACTTGTTGCACTGGCTGGGCTTGTTGCTTGTTAATAATCATGGTCATCTGATTGACTTGGTTGGTCAGCGTAGAGACCTGTGCTGACAATGCTGAGACAACATCTAATTCGAGAACCCTTGGTGATTTTTGTACCATATTCCTACCCATCTCTCCTTGCCTATCCGGATTGCTTTTGGAGAATTTGTTCAATAATGCATAAATTTCATCAAATCTTTTCTCCAATACTTGACCTCCAGCTGCAGCATCTGCTACAATTTTGTTTGGGGATGGAGCCCTTCTATGAAAGTGTGAACTAACACTTCATTCGTCTGATTGTGATGAGGACAGTCTCTGAGTAGCCCCTTGAACCTTTCCCAAGTTGAGTATAAAGATTCTCCTGCTTTCTGTTTGAAGGCAATTATCTCACTTCTGATCTTTGCAGTTTTGCTTGATGGAAAGAACCTTGCTAGAAATTTTCTTGCCAAATCATTCCATGATGTAATGGAATTAGCTGATTCTGCCTATTTTCTTGCCAAATCATTCCATGATTTAATGGAATTAGCTGATTCTGCCTTTAGCCATCGCTTAGCTTCGCCCAACAGAGAGAATGGAAAAAGTGTGAGCCTAACATAATCTGGAGTGACCCCGTTAGTGATATAAGTGTCACTAATCTCCAAAAAGTTCAGAATATGCTATTGTGGATCCTCGTGCGGAAGACCCATAAACTGCCCGTTTGCATAAAGTAGCTGGATCATGCTCTGTTTCAGCTCAAAGTGCCCAGTGATTCTGGGCTTCACGATACTGGAGGTGACATTAGCAATGTTGGGCATCACCACCTCCTGAACAGCCATGTGTTGCTCCTCTGCCATGTTCACAGGAAATTGAATGAGTGCTTGAATATTGTTTGCGTCCCTTGCTTCCCTCAACCTCCGGTGAAATGTTTTCTCAGGTTCGAGGTCAAAGCCGTTGAGTCTATCCTGGCTTCTAACCCTACGCATTCAATCAAAGTTTCTGAGATTAGAGCAACAATCAACTAACGTTAGACTAGACGAAATAAACAATTAAAGAAAAAACTAGAGAGTAGTGATTATTCAAGTCCGGCGCCAAAAACTTGTTGCTCCCAAACGCACACGCAAGTATACGTGAAACTACTCACTAAATCACTAAAATTGTTATTAAATCTAGCTAAAAGCAAAGTCCAATAATATGATTATACTATACTACGATTCTAAATAATAACTAAATTATCAAGTAACGAGTTGATTTTTGTGTATTTGGTAGAGACAAATATTCCAGGGTTGTGATCAATTCACCAATCGTATTGTGTTCTAATTAACTCTCCCCTTCATATAATTCACTCATGGTTGCTAATTAATCGATAAATGCTCTCATAGCCTTCTCCCGAAGTACTACTCGCCTATTCTCAATAGATTAACGCTTATATTCCTATGAAATCAATCTATTAAGAACGCATTAAGATCACGATATTTAATTAAGCACGGTGACTAGGTATATTCCTATCCTAACCACAAATCCGCTCCCCCTAAGGGTTAAGATCATGCTCTCTTCAATTCTTCTCTAATCTAAACACGGCTTTCCCAAGCATAGCATAAATAGTAAATAGAACCTAACTGCTGGCCAGACAATTAAGCAATTAAACACAGAATTGAAGAAACAACCATATATTGGTGAATTATAATCGAGGTCAAGTTAATATCAAACAACAATATTCATGGCTAAATCACAACCCCAGAACAATGGGTGTTTAGCCACTCATAATATAATCAAAGAATTGCATAAGTTTTGATTAATTGAAAATACTGGAAAAGATGAAGAATTCCGAGTTGTTCTTGCTCCTCAATGTTTCTAGCGTGTATTTCTGCTCCAAAGTGCGTCTCCCTCCTCAAAATAAGTTTTAGGATGGCTTTTATACGTGTTGGATAGGTTTAGAGCCGACTAAATCGAGTCCCGGGCAAAATAGGCCAACTTCGCGTAACCGGCGCCCAGCTCGGCGGCAGGCGCCCTCCATAGCGCCCAAAAATAATTCCTACTATTTTTTGCGCCACAGGTGGCGCCAGGCGCTGCCTGAGGCGCCCAACTGGCCAATTTTCTAATCTTGTCCGTTTTAGCTTCAGATCTTGTACGTTTTGCTCCCACTTGCTCCCGAATCATTCCTACAAGTAAAAAAACTTCAATTCAATATAATTCATAGCATTTAACATCCCAAATTCACAAAACAAGAATAAAATATGAGGCGATATACATAAAAAATATATATACTTTAAGTCAAACATCAGTCCTACTAAAGGTTTATTACGACAACGTTATAAATTCGGATGTCCTGTTGCCCTTTGAATTCTAATGTATGTAAATTTGGATGTCCGCATACAAAAGTTTTTTTTTTTCAATTGATAATCGATATTCACTATGGGTTTCGATTAATTTGGATTTCTGCAGAGCAATCCTACTTTAAGGGTAAAGAATTTCCTATCAAAGATGATGATCCATACGTACCCAGTGTGAACCCAAAACCCAATTAAGGATGGAAAAATACTTACCACTTTTCTACCATAACCTGTGGTGAATTTGTGTTATATAAATATTGTGTTTTGATCCCACGGGTGCTTATTTGACAATTTTATCTTATATATCTTACAGCTAAGTCGTCATTTCTAGCATTGGGTTAATGAACTTCCCGCGAATTTTCGTTTTTATGCAAAATATAGAGATAGTTTATTGTTGCAAAGTTCAGAATTATGATTTGACCTCATAATACCATAACCTTCCACGAAATCTAGTTTAGTGTTTGGCCATTACAAAACAATACTACTAGTTTCTTTTTTTTTTTTAAAATAAAAAAAGAAAGAAGCCGGAGGCTTTATGAGATGAGTGATGAGCACAAGGGCACATGTGGTGTTAGTCCCCTATATATTAAACTACTCCTACTTTCCAGTAATACAGTTGAGACTCAAACTTCCTACCAGCTGTTCTATAGCTGTCTCAGTCTCCCCCATGTGACCCCACCATCCCCTTAATCCCCCCCCCCCTGCAACCCCCCCCCCCCCCAACCACCACCTTTGGTGAATTGATCATTATTGGAGAGAAAGAAAGGTGACAAAGTTTAATTGCTCCTTAATGAGACAAGTCAAAGTTATACATATGGTCTCATGACAATGTCTATATCATAATTATCATGAATTAGCTAGTGTCGTCTCTGTATATGTTCTTTTTCTAGTTTGGTTTTCTAGCTACATTCTTGAAACTCCAATTTTTCTAGCTAAGTTAGAAAGGAAAAATGGCACACTTACCTCCAAGAGTACCAAACATGACACCAAATTGGCCTGATTTTTCACTTCAAAAATTGGACAACTTATCTCCAAATGCAACGGCTGCTCACACTAACCCATTATGGGCGGACGAATTCCTCGACTTCTCGTCGAAACGCGGGTCCCACCGGAGATCAATGAGCGACTCCATTGCATTCTTGGAGACTCCAATGGTTGAAGAATGCAGGAGGCTATCATCAACTCCGGGTTCGGGTGGGACCAGTACTGGTAATGAGGAATTTGAGAGGTTTGATGATGAGCAGCAAATCATGTCCATGTTTAACGACGACGAACACGACAATATTTCGTGTTCGAACCCATCGTCGCCGTCTGATTACATCAACGTTAATGATGATAATAAAAAGATGAATGCAGCCGGCGGCGAGTATGATCAAATGCAGCAGCTTAATGAGGAAGTTCAAAGCTCATGCAAGACTAATGGGGAACCAGCAGCTACTCATGCAAGTATTGAATACTCTTGTGAAAAGGTTGTTGATCCTAAGAGAATTAAAAGGTACATACATATAATTATTCGTGCATCATGCTTTGACATTTTCTCATTATGGTAATTCTTGTTTGTTATTTGTAAACCGTATTATGTTACTCCATCCATTCTAATTTATGACATAATTTGAAGTAGAAATGACAGTAGGTAGCTACTCAGCACTGCTATTTAGGAATTAGTCAATATATATATCCTGAATCAGTTTTTAGTTCAATTTTTCGGACATATAAATCTTGAATTGTGCTGAAATTAAGATTTTAGTTAAAATATTGACTAATCTCTAAATAACAGCTCTAAGAATGAATGTATGTGCACTTCCCCCTAATTTGAATCGACATAAAATTAAAAAAAAAAAATGGAATACTTTAGAAATTTGTCACTTTAAGTATGCCATAACATTTGTGTGGTTAATTATAAAAATAATTTATTAAGGATAAAATAAAAAGTGTAAGTTAATTATTTCCACATTTAAAAATGTTATTTTTTTTCAACGAACTAAAAAGGAAAGTGTGTTATAGATAAAATTATTTGTTTTGGAGTGTTGGTATCGAGCATATAAAGTACAGATATACTCGTTTATGACTAAAACTGAAATGTTATGTTTGTTTGTCTCTATCTCTCTATGTCTCTCCATGTGGAATGGATAACATTTTATCATGAATAGTGGCATATTTGAGTAGGTCTCTTTTGTTAGGAGTGATAAGGTTTAATTTTACTGATAATATAAAAATTGTTTACACTATGGGATCATTTAAAGGTAATTAAATAAACTAACGACATGAAAATAAAGCAAATAACCTTTTAGGAGCAAGTCAAATTAGTTTCAACGTTTATTTATTCTATCTATATATATATATAAGATAAATCTTTTATTTAATTGATTATGTCAGGATATTGGCAAACAGACAATCAGCACAAAGATCACGGGTGAGGAAACTGCAGTACGTATCGGAGCTAGAACGTAGTGTTAGCACACTTCAAGTAAGTAAAATATTTCAGAGAATTTTTCTTTTCTGCAGTAACAATAATTCAACTAGTTTAATTTCTTCGGAGATTTCATTTAGAATATTTCTGAATTGGCCCTTTTTTTTTTTCTCTGGTTTTTTAAAAGGCTGAAGTTTCGGTATTGTCACCAAGAGTTGCATTTCTGGACCATCAACGTTTGGTTCTAAACGTTGACAATAGTGCCCTCAGGCAAAGAATCGCAGCCCTTGCCCAAGATAAATTGTTTAAAGATGGTAATTCTTTTTTTCTTTTTTACTCTTCTAATTAACTGCATAATCAGTAAATATTTATCCATATAGGATGTCTTCACCAACCTAACAAATACATGACATATATCTTTACGTACACTCTTATCACTAACCTATAGTTACTGTATTTAATATATATTTTCACCTTAATTTATGACTTAACCATAGTAAATCAGTTCAAAACCGGGTGCGAGTAATTTTTCTTTTTACCATTTTTAATATCGTTGTTTTTCGTGTTGTGAAATATATAGCTCATCAAGAAGCATTGAAACGAGAAATAGAGAGGTTGAGGCAAATTTATTACCAACAGAACCTCAAGCAGATGGAAAACGGTACACAATCAAAGTCACAACCACCAGTTGCTGATCACAGTGCTACTGAGATGAAAGTACAACTTGTCAATTAATCTCTCCTTCTCTGATCCTTCAGCTAGGTACTCCATTTTTATTTTGTAATTGAAAGAATTTCTAATGTTTGGTGGAGCATATAAATTAATAAATATTACTCCATCTATTCCAAATTATGTGTTATTTTTCCTTTTCGAGATTTAAACTATGTGAACTTTAACCAAAATTCTTAAAATATTTTTTTATTATCATATTGATATTAGAATAATTGTAATATATAGTACTTTTTATATAGTTGTTAAATATTTAATTAACTTTAATTTTAAAATACTGAGTTGATATAATCCAATTTAGCTTCATTAATTATTCAAATTGACTCTCGAAAATCGAAAAGTGATACGTATTTTAAGACGGAGGAAGTATTAAAAAGGCAAAGAGATTAGAAGAAACAATAAAAGGAACATTTAAATGTAATTTAAACGAAGAAATAAGATAATTTGGCCTTTCATTCACTAGTCAATACCAAAGAAAGTTTTAATTTTTTTTCCACTTCGGGATTTAACTAATTTAAATGAATGCTGATCGGATATTTTAAAAGGTATTTCTTGGTCATTATTATACAACGAAAATAACAAGTCATAGTATTTTCTATTTAGTTTTAAATAATATTTATTTTTAACTTTCAAAATAGTAAATTTATTTTAACGCTGGTCAGATTAATCATCGATAAGTGCCAGAAAGGGGATTAATATAATTGCTTTAACCTTACAATGCAGGAAAACTAGACTATGACTGATGCAAGAGGAGGGGCATTTTCTTTATGGGGAGATCTGACAGGATAAGATCACTTGGATCTCTAAATTGATCTCTCATTTTCAGGGACCAAAATGGTTCTTATTTTACTGCTTAGGCATTTATGTTTTTTTTTCTTGTAATGTTTAATTCATTTTTCCTTCAACTATCAACAAGAAATATAATATTATTGGAAGGGCAAGTGGAATTTTGTCAGGACAAGCGAAAAGTCAGAACTGTTAAATACATTGTTTGTCATTATACTTTTACTTAATTCGTGGCTGTAAAATAGTGAAAACTGCAAAGGAGTGGGATCTTCACTCTTCAAATCAGGGGCTGAGCTAGGAACTTAGTAACGTATTCGTCCGAACTCAATAGATTTTGCTCAAACAATATACGTGTATTAAAAGTTCATCAAATATGTAGAAATATTCAGTAGAACCTAATTATTAGTATTTCAAGTCGTAGTTTTAAAACTCAAAACCCATAAAATTAAAATTCTAACTCCGTCTCTACTTCAAATGCCTTTGACTACCTACCGATGGTAAAATATTTCCAAAATCTGAATTACGAGGGCAAGCGAAGATAGAAAAAAGAAAAAGAAAAGGAGAAAAGGTATAGCAATAAAGCTTACGCAGTAATTAGGAATAACATATGACAATGCATATTCATTTTTCTTGATTGATGGAAAAGATTATGCTAATAACGATATCTCCAAATACCAAAACAATATCTATGTCTGACTTTCCGCGCACCTTATATTGTATACTTTTGTTTGAAATCTCCTCACCTCGTATAATTTATTTTAGGGATAATGCATAAAATCCACCCCAACCTATGACCATATTACCAACTACATACATTTTCTTTTCGGGAGTCCTATTACCTCCCTAAATTATTTTTCAGTGTAATTAATTCCACCCCGTTGCTGATGTGGCATGAACAACCAAACAAACAACCGATAGTGTTTTGCACGCGCCTCATTTCCTTTTTTTTTTAATCATTTAAAACCTTTTTTTTCATTTCCTCTCATTTTCAATGGTTGGCCTCTTCCATTTTCGTTCTTTCTTTCAGTTAGCTTTTCGATTTCAAACCTATAATTCTTTCATTTTTCAGCAATTTCAACTTCTTCTATTTCTCTCTTTTCTTTTCTTTTTCCTTCATCTCTGTGACAGAGAAGAATTTTGTTTGATTCCTTTAAACCTAAACCCTTTTGCAAGAATTAATCTTATTCAACTTCTTTGTATTTATAAGGGAAACAATGAATGGTCTATATCAACTAAAAAGTTCCAGAAAATTAATCTTTCATATTTAGCGTACAAAACCTCCTTTTCCACTGCAGATTTTGCAAAATTAGTATTGTGAAGCTAGCTATATTCCTCAAAGATGGATGGAGGGGAAACTGACAGCAATTGTGAAAGCATTGTTTTATCTTTTTCTCATATGTTCTTGGAATAAAGATTTTGGTGCAGTAGAAAAAAACAAAGAGGATTTTTTCATGGGTTTTATCTCGGAGAAAGGATTTGCTTTAATTGTGAAGAGAAGCAGATTGCTTCTTGGGTTTTTATTTTGTGAGTGGTCATAGTTTGTACTTCATCATTGAAGGAGTAGGTTGAAGAGTAATTATGGTGGCAGTGTTGAGCAAGTTATGATATGGAGAAATTGGTTGTGGGCGGTCATGGGTGGTGGGATAAGTCGCAGATTTGAAGAGAAATGGAGAAGAACCATAAACAAAACTTAAAAAAAAAAAAAAAAATCTATCTCTTGGACACGTGGCATAAAGAGCCTGTATCTTTAGTTTGCATTTGTCTTGGCACGCGCTAGATGCATGTGCAATACACCGCTAGTGCCACGTCAGCTAATAAGGTGGAATTAATTAATTACACTGAAAAATAGTTTAGGGGGTAATAGGACTCCCGAAAAGAAAAGATGTGCTGTCATAGGTTGGGGAGGATTTTATGCATATCCCTTTATTTTACGGATATCTATCATCAAATTTTAAGGCAATTATGTTTGAATTTAATACTATAAGAGAATCACTTCACCACTTCTTTCACCTCCTGTCGTCATAATCCCCCTTTTAACAGTGTCTCAAAATGCTATGGGAAACTATACTGTTATATCATTGGATAAAAAGTTTCTATAATCGTTGGGCTTATGGAGTATATGGCTTTTGGGCCAAAGCAAATACTGATGGGCAAAATACGGGAAAAATTTAAAAATAGCCGGATTTGCAAGTGGTCATTCAAAAATAGCCACAGTTTCAAAAGTAAACGAAATTTAGCCACTTTTTATGTAAAGATAAATCTGAACGAAAACACTATTCAAATCCGAAAAAATACTCCAGTATAATATACTGAAATTCCAGTATACTTGTGACGACCCAAAGGGTCATCACCGGATTTTTCTCTTTTTCCGTGCTTCCGAGGCCTTGAAAACCTCACCTTTAGTTGCCTCGATTTGTGTGCACAGTCCGGGCGCGTAGCCATAAAGATTATATGTTAAATTCTGTGAAAATTTTCAAAATGTGGCTTTATAATGATTAAAGTTGACTTCGGTCAACATTTTTGGTAAACGGACCCGGACCCGTGATTTGACGGTCCCGGAGGGTCCGTAGAAAAATATGGGACTCGGGCATATGCCCGGAGTCGAATTCCGAGGTCTAGAGCCCGGGAAAAGAATTTTTCTGTTTAATTGTTTTTCTGAAATTTTTAAGGAAAATGGAAATGAAAATTGATTAAAAGACTATGGTATCGGGCTCGTATTTTGGTTCCGGCGCCCGGTACAAGTCTTAAATATGTGTTAAGCGCTTTCTGTAAAGTTTGGTTGAAATCGGACGTCATTCGACGTGTTTCGGACCTAAAACTCTAAGTTTGAAAGTTTATGAGATTTAATGAAAAAGTGATAATTTTGGGGTTTGATTCCTCGTTTATGATGTTATTTTTGGCGATTTAATCGCATGGTTAAGTTCGTAGGATGTTGTTGAGTTAGTGTGTGTGTTTGGTTGGGAGCCCCGAGGGCTCGGGAGTGAATCGGAGGTGGTTCGGGGTGTTTTTACACTTGGAATGGTAGCAGATTTTTCTGCAATTTTGCCCAGATAATTTGTTCTTCGCGAACGCGGCCTCAGGCTCGCGTTCGCAGTGTCCTGTCAACTTCCTCTTCCGCGTTCGCGGCCCTCTTTCCCGCGTTCGCGTAGCCCCTTCAAACCCTTTAACACGTTCGCATCTGCCTACTCGCGTTCGCGTAGGCCATTTGCCCAGGGCCCCAGCTTTCCTTCTTCGCGTTCGCGTGCTCTCAATCGTGAACGCGATTCCCCCAGTTCTTCTTCATCGCGAACGCGTCCTTGATGTCGCGATCGCGAAGGGTAAATCCCTTCAGTGATTTTTTTTAAAAGTTCACAACAGTAGCAGCACGGGATTTTCCTCATTTTTCCACACGAACTCTTCTCCCTAACATCCCATAGACGATTTTGAAGAGCCTTTTCCTCCATAGCTTCTTAGGTAAATGTTCTCAACTTCATTCTCTCTTAATTTCTTCATCTAATCACTAATTTCCTAGCCCTAAATCATGAATTCAAAGTAGAAATTAAGGGTTTTGGGTAGAGTTAGGGTTTTGGGAATTTTGGGTGATTCAACCTCAATTTGGGGTCGAATCTTAAAACAAATTATATATTTGAACTCGTGGGGTTATGGGTGATTGGGTTT